AGAAAAATGCGACGCGACAACGCCGCATCATCCGAGGCAACCGTGCATGTTAATATAAAGAAGATTAATACCTGTTTGTTGGCAGTTGCCTGCCTGGCATTGTACATTCCAACGTTCGTCTTCATTGTGGTTGATCTACTTGAGAAATCGACGGCAGAACACGAGTCGGAAAAATCGAGGATGGCTAGATTTTGGAATGGCACGGTAGCTTCTATGAATGCTACATGCAACTGTTTGGTCTTTTTCTGGAAGAATGACGTTTTACGCAGAGAGGGGAAAAAGGTATTGAAGACCTTGAAAAACCGTCTTTTCCCATGCTAAAGTTGGCCCAGCTTAAATTATCAATGTTTGTCGGACACGTATAACACGTCCGTCGTTTTATAGATTAAGGATTGAAAATCAGCCAAATGTGGCGAGTATGTGGCGAGTATATTGCATATATTTTATTACAGCAACCGCTGAGTATTTTTATAAACCTGTCCCTATATTTAGTCTAGCTGGCTTATAAAATACATCTGATTCATATAAGTCTGGAAAAAGGATAAATGCATGGGAAACATTTGTGGACTTACCAACAAGATTGATGAATTTTGTTTGTTTTATTTGTTCTTCTAGATTATTACAAAATTAAATACGTTTTGTCTAACGTTTCGTTTTCCTATACACGAAAACTATTCCCAAAGACTTGAACGTTTGTGATATTAACCGTTCATTTTTTATCAGATTTTAAAGATTGATGAACGTTTAATTGATTTGCGTGTTGTGTAAATTAAATATATGATCAATTTAAAGCTTTCATGCACCAACTTGTACATGTATTAGATTTATGCCTGATAGTTTTCGTAAAACGCGTAAAACGTAAGTTTTCGTTGCTTTTACCAAACCTACAATTTCGAAATTACTCACCACCTGATGATTCCTATACGGATGCAACAGACTGTTGTTGTTTTTTTGAGGTAAAACGAAAAACTATATTACGCTCTATCTATATGGTATTGAGCACTGTTTGTGTTTTCGTAAACCAAAATCTTAAGCTATGTATATATATATATATATATATATATATATATATATATATATATATATATATATATATATATATATATATATATATATATATATATATATATATATATATATATATATATATACAGGGTGTATAAAAAAAAACGCAATCCTCGACTGAAATGTAAATTGCTAAACAAATAATAGACGAAAACGTTAAAGTTTACATTCGTTTTAAAGCGTAGCCATTCAGCTTTCTAACAGTGGGTTGTTTCTTAAATTTGACTCATTGGTTCGCGGGTAATAATACTTTACGTTATTGCGATTGGAGATTAAAAAAATGAGATGGAATAACAAATCGTTCTCATGAAAATAACTGATTTTTTCATTAAAAAAAAAATGTTGCATTTTATTAAATGGATTGTAACAATAAGTATAATTACGGCTTTTCTTCCACTATTTCTAACTCAGTTTGAAACTTCAAATGCGATGTAATTTTGGCTTGCATGGACCAGCTAAGCTGACTGACATCAACTTGCTATAATTTCTGTTTACATTACATCGCATTTCGATGACACTCTGGCTCAGACACCAGAATGTTTTGACGATTTTTAGCATTCGTTTAGGATTTTCAAACAACCTGATCTCTTTTAAAATACTTTTAATTAGTTTTTACGTGGTTTTCCAGGTGTAGTGACGACAACATTAAAGTTTAAAGAAGAAAATTCTAACATTTAAACCGACTAAACAATAACATAGTAAACTTGCATAATTAAACAGCAACTAAAATGATAGGTTTTACTAAATCTTTTCCTGTGCAATTATTACTAGCATTGGAGACAAGGATAATAGTTTGTTTGAAAGAGAAAAGAACAGGCTTTGAAGTAAGCCTAAAAGCGTTTAACTAGAAATAGTATTTCGAAAGTTATTAAGCACAAAAGATGAATTGCGTTTATTTTGATACCCCCTGTATATATATGCATGTATTTTTTATTATTAGAAGTAATGCTCCCAATAGTTGTAAGTTCTCCCTACTCTACTATGATAAATTCCTACCTTTTGTGGGTTCAACAGGTAAACGTAATCATAGGAGGAATTTTCCAATATTTTCCCAGTTATATTATACACCACGTTATGTAACATTTCACAGTTTG